GAGCAACCATGCCCAAACCATAATAGCGTTCATGTAGCACTGCATTCGATGACCTGAGCAACCCCCCTTGCCCAAACCATGATAAAATTCATCTAGGACTACATCCGATGTCTCTGTGTAAAGAGCATGAACAACAAAACACACTTTTTCTTACATATGGACGTCTCCACTTTTTTTCTGCACCCCCTTCTCATTTTCTAACTGTTATGTTTTTAAAGTCCTTATGAATGGAAGACGCCCCCCTCCCTTTCTGAAAACAAATTCTGAACTCGTAAGGGCAAAATGGTATCCATTCCTCTTTAAAGAATACAATGGGGGGTTGAGGTCACAGTCAGAGCTTGAGTGGGATGATTCATTGGGATGAAGGGCTTAGCACACAAGACTTTGTTCCTGTGCCCGGTTTGGTGCAGGGATGTTGGGATGAATGCTTCGTCATGACTCTGAGCACCTCCTTACTGGTCAAGCTACGTAGTTCAGTCATAGAAAAACCCCTTAGGACGAGGACACTGAAAACCGCTCTTAATTTCACGCAAGCACAATCTCGAAGTTGTGACAAACTACTGTCCCGATGAACAAACTTTCTTCTCCTGACATGAAAGCATCGAGGGCCTTCGCAGTGTTTTAAGCACGTTGTAGTGTGAAGCGCACTATGTCCTGCATATTACCAAAATCGCACAAGTCTGAGATGCTCACCGAAAATACGCTTGCCAGTAAAAGGTAACTGCACGCAAACACTGCCAGGATGAAAAGGGCCAGAAAAAACAATGCCCTAGGCCAGAAACACTGAGAGTGTTGCGGATTTTGCGCAACACGAAAATTATGTAGAAAAGTCCACACGGCCAGATATGCACTCGCGTGCAGTTAGTTATATCCCACCTGCCTGCATTCATGCATTCATGCATGCATGCATGCATGGGTTTGGAACAGGTATCCTTCCACTTTGACGTTGAGGCAGCTCTGTCGAGGCTGCGTGTGGCTGGGCCAAAGGTGCGACAGCAAAATGTGTTGCTGCACCTCAGGCAGTACCTGATTCCTCCAGCTGCTTTCTGCTTGGCTCTTGCGGAAGCAGGCGAGTCGGGAACGGCATTTGCATGATGGTCTGAATCTAGTGGATGCAGGCCTCTTCAGTTGTGCTGGTGATGCCTGGCAGTGCTACCCGGCCTCTTTGTGGCAGACTGTGCATCTCCAGCTTTTGCTGGTAATTGCCAGCTTTCCCACACAATTCGTGGCCTCTGACGAGCTTACTCAGGAATCGGGTGACTACTGTCGCATCATGAACCAGCACGTCAAGAGGCTGGCTCGCGATCGTTTCAGAGAAGCTGCGGGGTGCTGGCCTTCCCTCATGTTGTGATTCCTCCGCCAAGGAATTCATGGACGAATTGCTTTGATGGCATACAGTATTGCACAACTCGTTTTCTAGCCCGGTAAATGCTCTGGCACATGAATTGTTGACAAGCAAGACCCAAGCTAAGAAGAGCTCTTGTGTTGAGAGCTAGCATGTGCATACACAGGGGGTCTTGTCACTTGGCACGCGAAGTTCCCGCATCTGGTGGGCCAGGTTAACCTGTTGCGTGCGGCTAGCTGAGCATGCGGATCTGGATGCTCTGGTCGAGCTTCAGCGAGAAGCGAAGGTGCTCTGCTGCAGTGTCCAGTCATCCAGCCTGCCTGCATAGTTGCTGCGCCTCCATACTTGCAATGAACATGGGCTGTCACAGGTCAACGCAGCGCTGGAGGCCTGGTACCGCAGCTAAAACAAGCCATGATGTTTGCGCTTCTGCATGAGGCCTCTCCTGATACCATTGCTGCTCGCCTGATAAACGCACCGCTCGGCATATTTGTGGCCGAGCGCAGTGGGAAGCTGCTTGGGGCCGCGTACACAACTCGCCTTCAGGGCCCAGTAAGCCGGGTGAGCTTGGAAGCTGAACCTTCTCGGCCCAGTACGGCTGACGGTGAAGTGCTGCTTACCTGAAAATTGCTGGCAGGAAGCGGCTACTAGCTACTACGGTAGCAACACTCCTCACCCCATGTCACAGGTTGCAGATTATTGCCATCCACGCGGTGCCAGAGGCAGCAGATGCTGATTGTTCCGGATGTTTTGCTGGTTTACCTCCAGAGCAGCGTTAGCTGAGGGGACTTCAAAGGGTCAAAGCGTGGAATCCTTCTTGTGCTTCAGAGATTGCAACCAGACTGCTGTGCAGGCACAAGGTGTCGGCTCATTGTTGCCTCGCTGCATGTTATGGTTGACTGAGCCGCCTGAACGGATGTTTGCAGCCCGTTTCTTGCTATGGCTGTCTGACATCAGGGCAGAGGTCTCCAGTGCATGTTGCTGTGCTCATGTTCTCTGAACTACACTTGCCCAGTACACCGCAGCTTTTCAGGCAAGCAGATTGACAAAGACTTGGAAAGGCTAGGTAAGTGTAGATGTGGTTGAACAAGACTGCCAAGATCTGTTGAGATCCAACGATGGCTGTTTTCATGAAGCCTATACGGCGGCGTAAGCAAGCTTGAATGCGATACGCTGAGAAGAACAACAGACAATGAGCTACATGAGATAGATGGGGACGTCGCTTGCAAGCATCAACTAAAATGCCTGCCCTAAGGCACGAATACATACCTGAATGAGTGAAGATCAACACCTTCATTACTTGGAAGAGACTAGGGCTTCTGGAAACAAGGTTTGGCGTAAGCTAAACGCTGCGTCTCGTAAGCTAGCATAAGCGATTTTAAGCCAACGTTGTTGCCGTAACTGTCGTATTTTTTTTTTGTTTTGCGCTTGTTGTTGCGGCTGCTGCTGAGGATTTGCAAGGTTAGCCAGCATAAGTGGCTTTAGCAACACACCAACAAAGCCGTGTCGTAAACAAAAGCTTGGAAAATGTAAGCTACCGGATGCGTGTCTTGCTTCCGGCATAGAATTGATCTGGGTTTCTGGCACCGCTCAAATGGATGTTATGTGCAGGCATGCAACAGGCGCCTTGCAAGAAGCAGCGCAGCGCATTTGGAAAGCCACCAATCTGAGGCTCCGGGACTTCTTGCTCCAACTCGCTCGAGTTGACTCCAACGCCGCTCCTCTTTCAATTTCGCACGTTGCGCATGGGCATAGATTGGCACAGGACACAGCATCTTTAACCGTGTGAGGTCAAGGCCGTGGTTGGACTTACGCGCTGCGAGGGCTGGGCAGCCAGCAGCCTGAGCCGCTCGGCAAAGGGGGCGCCAGTGTATCGAAGTATTTTTGAAGGGCTTTGCAACTCAGGCCAGGATGACTACATCAGGCTGAGATCCGATTTGATCCTCGTGGTGGTTGCTTGACCAAGAAGATGTCTTTGTCTTTCCCCAGCTCTTTGCAGGCGGCACCAGACGGGTGAACTTGTTGACAAGGTGGGTTGCAATTGATGAGTTGCAGAAGGATCTTCTTGTGTCTGTCCGCTACATCCGCTGTGTCTCTGAGGTGCTGGCTTTCCACACCCAACGTGGGGCTGAGATCATCCAGCTGGTTGCTGGGGCCCGTCCAGCTGATGTGGCAAACCAAGGCGACATGCCGCAGCCCGTTTGCAACTGTGAAGCCACTGGTCGGTCACTGCACGTACTTGAAGGCTCCGCAGTGCTCATTTGCTACGAGCCGGGGAGGAACTGTTCGCTCTATGCATTGTGTTTGCTGGATCGCCACGATGGATGGCTCATGACGGCTTTGAAGGAGACACCAACCCTGCGGTGTCCCACCACTAAGTGACAAGGAGCCTTATAGGAAAATGCGAGAGGTGAGATGAAGCCAGCTAGCACATTTGGGGCAGAGAAAAAGCTACAGGATGTCACTGTGGAAGAGTTGGAGCGCTTCATTCGTGAAGAGCTGCAGAAGATGAACATCCGAGAAGAGGACTGTCAGGTCAAGATCGCACAGAAATATGCAGAATTGCAGAAGCAGCGTTGCCAGGATGCCGGCGCAGCCTTTGCAGAGCTTGGCCTGGATTCGCTGGAGCTTGCTGCGCTGCGGCGTGGCATTCAGTACCTTGACTAAGCTGATACAGCTCTCCCTTCATTTCCCTTCATGCTTCGCTGGTTGCTCAGGCAGAACTTTGGCCTTCGGGCAGATGCGATTGCTGATACTGCTCGGGAGCTGGCCGAATCTTGCATGCGAGGCATTTGTAGCAAACCCTTGACAGCAGTGCTGATGGCGAGTCGAGTGTGAGCGATATAGGTTCCTCGCGTGTGGAGTGCAAAAACGCTCGATCAGTCGTGGAGTCCCTGATGCTGGAATTCGGCGCCGATAGCCAGGACGCAAGAACAAACTTGCATCAGCATGCTATGGACAAGGATTTTACACAACTTATCTACCTGACCAGTATTGTGGATACTCTTACTTTATGGCTGCTTTTTGAATTGGCAACTTGAAACCTGCTTGCAGTCGACATCGCTGGCAGACTTGGGCCTGGACTCGCTGGACCTCGCAGCACGGCACCACATGAAATGCACGGTGCCAAAAGCATTCTACGCAGCAACAAAGATGTTTTATCCTAGGCTCGACTCCGAGAGTGTCTCGCTGCACGCGTATCCGTGCAGATCAGCATGGAGGATGTGGCTGTTCCAATGGGCTATGCACAGCTGAGGATGTATGCACAGTCATTATTGGAATGCTCGTGTGAAAGCTTGAGTATGCGCACCTGTATGACACTACATTGGGGCTGATGGTTAAAACCAGCCTAGCCCGAGACATCTGCTCACTTGCAAATGTCTATGGATGCACGATGGCACCAGTCAAACATGCTAAACGCTTCAACACGGGCCACTGACCCCCTCGCTTGGGACGTTCTGGCATGCGATGAGCGGATTGAGCGGTGCATCTGCAAAAGTCGAGGTTCTTCTCCTGGGCCATTTGCCACATCAAGCGACAAGATGAGAAAAACCTAGCTCCCCCGGCAAGGTCTCAACATGTTTCAAGCTGATGCACGTCCCTCTGAGGAGTGCTGGAGAGCAGCAACACGCAACAATCCAAGTTGCTGGGAGCCATGGCAGCTGCATCTCGTCGTCGCGCTGGCGGCGCTGTCGCAGTTGCAGCCTTGCAGCCTGGCAGCAATCGCAAGTATACCGGTCGGTTTTGTTTCTTGGGGTTGTCGGGGATAATTTGCGAAAGTTCTGCGTTGGGCGCGCAGGATCAAATCCAAGATGTTCTGAAGGAGTTGCGCAAACCTTGTGAATTGCAATTTGATCAAGTGTTGCACCTCCACCGAAATGAGGCTTGTGTCAGCTTTTCATTCTTCAGCACATGGAGATTGTCTTGGGCCACTAACTTGATGAGGCTTTTTAATGATATTTTGCCCCGGTCCATCAGTCAGCTGGAGCTCCAGTAGTGCCAGCCAGTAGAAGGATTGGCCAGTAGCCAGCGCTTGCCAATTTCCTCGATTTCATGGGCTGAATTTTGCAAGTGCGGAAGATTGTAATCATGTTCTGGGATTTGGATTTTGCAGTTAACCGGGCGTTTTTTTAAATGCGGGGTCAACATTTGTTGCAGCACGCTGGTGTCTTGATGTGCCTTGCCTTGCTTTCAGAGGCATGGGATGGAAAAGATAAGCCAGCGTACAGCATTCAGTGCGGACCCAATGAGGGAAGCTCTGCACCCAACAACCAAGGCTTGGTGTCTATCTTGGCTCGAGTAATTCGAGGCGAGGCCAATGTACTATCCGGATTTTTTCAGAATATACTGTGAGGATGAAGTAAACAAACATGGGCCATCATCTGCTTCAAGTTGCACGAAGCGCCAACATAGGCTGGCTCTCGTGGAGTTGAAAGCTATGGACACTTGGATGGCGATTAAGGGGACCCAGTGTTCAGTGTTCAGCCTTTGAATTAGCTATTGAGTAGAATTCCACAGAGTTCTGGAACTTTTTTGACCTCTGCACTGAGTTAGCAGCACGGATAGGCCCAGCAGCTCTCCTGGCAAGGAAAGGTCATGTCGCAAGGGGTTTGCTCCATGTTCCAGCTCAAAACATGTCACGTCACGATTTCAGGACCGGAAGCTGGAGCTTCATCGCTTCATGGGGTCTTGGTACGTACTCGTGTCTCATCTGCATGAAAATTTTGCAGTAGCTCGGACTCGTTGGCCTGTCTCTCAGGCCCACATCCCGGTGAAGCTCGTAAACGCAGCTTCACACGCAATGATATGGTGAGCTGTTCTCACATGCATGAACGAACGTTTTTGTTGCGACAGTTCTGAGGAACACCTGGCTCACAACGCGGTCGAGACATATAGCTGGGACGAGAAAAAGCAACGCATTGGCGTTCACTACAGGCCAACTTTGACACCCTTGATGATTAGTGCTGGAACAAAAAAAGAAAGCTGATGGCACTGGTGGATCATGTCCCTCCAGACCAGGTTCAATGAGAAGGCCTTGGATGGCCGCATCAACGACAGTTATCAGCGTGGCTGGGTCTGGAACAAGGCCATCAAGCCAGACGTACCGGCGGTTTTTGCGTTGGTTTGTGTCACATGCTATTCAGCAGGACACCAACGCGGAGTGGAGGGTGTCGCCAAAGCTACCGCTGTTGGGCTACTTCTTCAGCTACTGCGGGCTAAAGCTCCCCTACATCATTGTGGATTGTGCAAGTGACTACAGCAGCGCAACTGGGCTGCACGGATCAGCGCTTGTTTGTTTTGCTTCGCGGGTGTGAATCAGATGGACAGACCAGGCGATAGTTGGTTATCCAAGTCGCACCTACCTGTGGACTCTCGGCTTGTGATGGCTCAGGTTCCCCACAAGTACTCCTGCGACCCTAAGAAATAGTTCATTTCCCTTTTTATGAGATTCTGTTCTGACAGTGAGAGCAAGGGGCGTCATTGGTGAAACTACATTTTGGATCTCCGCCTCTGCTGGTATGATCTTGCGTGGCAGAGGCAAATGTAGCCCAAGGATCCTAAGCAGAAAGCCAGCAGTCTCCGATGCGGAATACCAGAAGCTGATCGAGAAATCCAAAGAGCTGGGATGCTTGGCGGCAGGTGATTTTGCGTTCTGCTTGGAATTGTAAGGCGTGCCACGTCAAGCAGAAAGGTTTTTCATTCGCACGGATGGGTTGCTTGTGTTTGCAGCAATGGGTGCGCAAAAAAAGCACGGGGCACCGCGCGAGCTATATGCAATCTGGCGTGCATTTTTCTGAGTTGCCACTAAGGATATGATGAAGCCAAAATTCGAAAGGTACCACAGATCCCAGATGCACAAATCTTTGAAGTGCCGTCTAGCTGAGAGAAGACAAAACAAGTCTCTTACATGACCTGGATGTGCGTTTGAAACGATGCTTGGTACCTTCACGCCAGTGAATTGAGCTCAACCTGAAACGAAAAGAGGAGCTCACAGCTGCAGCAAATGTTGACGGCATCGTTCAGGTGGGCTTGTTGTCTGCTCCAGTGCCATCATCGTTGTAACTTGGTCAGGCAATCCAGGCGAAGATTGACGCGCAAACATCGTGACCAATTTCCGCTGGAGCAAAAGAGAGGATTCGTCTGGTTTGTCTGCTATTAGCAGCATGGCAGATCCCTTGGCCAAAACTTACACTAGTTTCAACTAGTCTTTGAGGATTCTTTTTCTCAGATAAGAGTAGCTTCACGGAAAAGAAGCTTGCTTCAGCAGACTTATTCCACACCGTGCTCTGCTGGCCGAAGCATCTGGTTTTGACTAAGGTCCGCATCCTCTTTCCGAACAAGCCCGCGCGGTTCTTTCACTGGTCATGTCTTGACTTGGATGTCACATGGCTCGTGCACTACACATTGCTGAGTATCTTGTCATGCTCAAGGACATGCTCCGAGCACGTGACATCCACTACAACAAATGGTGCTGGCCTTGAAGGAACCTGACAGTGAGCTGTGCGCAAGTCTGACCAGCGTGTAGGGCTGGTACTGATGCAGTGACTGGGCATGGAGATTACTCGTCGCAGCCTTTTGGTCAATCTGCCCACATTCTGTTGGCAAATCTCGCTGTAGCAGCTACGGCCATGCAGGCGTTGCGGCAGAGACCTGTCAGTCTGCATCGTCCCTTATCCACAGCAGTGCAATCCCAGACCATGATTAGGTGATTAGGTTGACTCCGAGAACAGCTGCGAAGTGGTCATAAGCCCACCCAAGCTGATTTTGTAGTGTCTGAAGCAGGCGATCCCCGGGTACAAGACGACCTATCAGATCCTGAAGGAGGGTTCCGGCGCCGTGGCGTTCCCAGTGCTAGAACACTTTACGAAAGAGCGCGGGCAGCGCAGTTTTGGCCATTTTGCATGTCAGGCCATCCAGAAAAAAAGCAACGCGACAGTACACGCCACTGGCGTGGTCAAAGAGCAGCTCGCTAAGAAGGGTCTGCCACGTCTGTTGAGAATTTTGGCGTCAGAAGATTCGCTTTTGGCAGTGATGTGTGTGTTTTTCAGCGACTTTTCCTGCCGAGGTCGGGAAAGAAGTTTTGGAGCACCAAAGATCCCGGACAGAAGCCATTCTCATACCAGGCACCTCGCATCAGCGTCGCAAAAAGGAACGTGGGGGCTCCTGCCTGAGCGTGTCCGGTTGGAAGCTACTGCCAGGCTGGCGTTGGGAACGTCGCTCGCTCAGATGCCATGTGCTTGCAGAAGCAGGTGAGAGCTGCACCACGCTGCAGCTGCCGTTGGATTGTTGTCTTCCACGCAAAGCGAATAACAAGGGCTTTTCGCTCGAAAACCCATGTTCAGAGAGGTTATCACTGGCTGGGACCAGGGCTGTCTCGGCATGAAGGTGGGCGAGGCCGCTCGTTGTTTTGCTGGCTCATATCTATGACTCATTGGTGCCCTTCGCGTTTGTCACTGTCTTTCGCTGCCAACGCCCAGAGGAAAGGATGCTGGTCATTCCGGCTGACGAGGCCAGCATTGAATTCCAGCAGCTGAAGAGATGTATCACCCTGGCTGATGCCAGGGCTATGGAGCAGCTGGTTTCCCTGCCTGGGGCATTCCGGCAGGTGGCACCCTGGAATCTTGGCCAAAAAGGACGCAATCGGCGATATCGGGGAGAAGTGTCACCGAGTTTGCGTTTCATGTCTGGCGTAGTGCTCTCAATTCCAGAGATCTGAGGAATTCACACTGGAGTGCCTCAAGGTGCTCTGACGGCACCGCCAATGCCTGCATCTGACTGTCTGAGCTTTCGATCGACCATTGGACAGAAGTTCTGTGCGCTTTTGGCTTTAAATTCAGGATCAAAATCAGAGAAAGGAACAAACTACAATGTGTAAATCGTTGAGGCATACAGGACCTCGTGGATTTGTGCTTAACCCTTCGCCCTGCACGCAGGTGGAGTGAGAGATTGATTTACTGAGCTGTGAATGAGCAACGAGCCGCTCACCTTGATGATTCTCAAGAGGTAATCGGCCTGTGTAGACTGAATATGAAGGAAGGCCTCTGATGTCAAGTGGTGTGGGTCAGTGGCAGCACAGGATTGTGGAGAGACGATCCATGATTTGTTCACCTCTTGTAGTATGAGTGTAGATGCCACGAACTTTTGTAACTCCAGATGGCATGCAGACCGCGCCAAAATGTGGGAGACGCCAGCTGACTCTGGCATTGCACTGCTTTGGCAGTGAACCCCTTGCTCATGGCCTCATGATGCCTCATGGCCTCATGGCACTGTGCCTCTTAAAAGTTCTCAGGCGCAAGATGGAGCGTCCGGAGCTTCTCCGGCGAGGCTACTACAACGAGGCTGTGTGTCACACATGAAAACAAAGGGTTCCGGCATTGGCACCGCAGCCAGGTGAATGAGGATGCTTGGCCCGGGCCGTTCGAGGAGACGCGGGCAATGAGGTGAAGAGGTACAAGTGCTTTCAAATGCTTTCAATATTCTATGGTCTGGTTCCTTTGAGGACGTTTTCGTCTACATCATCTGCCAGGAAGCAGCTGAGCTTCCCAAAATCAGGCGCTCACCTGACTGACTGGTGACGAGGGAACACTTTGCGGCTCGTTACGCGAATGCTCTTGCTGGCTTGCACCTATGGGAGTCTCATCACGCCCTCTCCAGGAACTATATTGAGAAGGCTGATGCTGTTGCGACAAGGCTGCGACTGCGATGCCAGACTGGTGATTTTTGTGTCCCATTGGCCTAGATATCTCATGCCGCGCAATGCATATTTGTACTATAGTGACTTCTGTTGGAACAGGAAGTGGGCAACAGCTAGCGGCTCTGCAACAACTTACGTCGCCCGAATATTCGGCCCTAAATTCATTGTACTTCACGAGTCTTCCAGCTGGAGTCTTTCAACGATTGGGTATGTCTGGTGTGCTGGAGCTACCACTCTTCACAGCTGCATGATTCTGTCTGCACCTGTCCAATTGAAAGCTCTGCACTGGCATGCTTGAATTACGATCAGCTACTGGCATTCGGATCCAATTGCTTGGAGGCAGGGGCGTGTCCTGCGACACATCATCTTCAACCTCAATCTCAACAAGCTCAGGCATCTGGCTTCCAATGCAGAGTAGGCTAACAAGCAAAAATACGGCTTGAAGTCACCCCGGTTCTGCTGGGTCTTCGTTTGCCGCTCGGGCGGGCCGTCTGCCAAACAGCTCCATATGTGCAAGGGCCGACATCGAGTACTACAAGAAGCTGCTGCCCTTCCAGCCTGGCCAAGCCACCCCGAAGGCTGTATTATGCTCGTTTTCATGCGATCTGTTCATCTTTCTTGCCTAGTAGAGGTCCACTTGGATTTCTTCTCCACCTTCAGAAATGCATACTTCATTCGATTTGGAAAGCTGGGCCCTCGCCGCACTTCTCAAGCATATAGGTTAGACTCTTGCTCCTTTCTGACTTCACTCGCAGGTACACGCAGACTGTGCTGCGAGACCCATTCAACATTAACTACGTCGGGGCCATGTGCGCCGACCTGCAATCTTGCCTCAAAAGCTGCTAACTTGTTCTGTTGAATCATGAGCCTGCCGGCCGATCGTGCTTGCATCGCGGGCCTCCAACACCATTTCCGTGGGCTTTTGAAAGGAGTGAATTGTCACGAAAGCTCCGTGTGGGAGCTTCGTTTAATACCTCACGGAGTGAGCCTGGGATCATGGGGGAGGGGGGGTGCCAATTTTGGCGGGTTTTTGCAGCTTCCCTGCACCAGAGCGGATTTTCGGGAGGTGCTGCGAGGCCTTTTTGGGCTGGGGGTTATCTTGGGAGGCATGTTGGGGGGCTTTGGGGATTTTGGGGGGGCTCTTGGGGATGTTGGGGGGTCTTGGGTCTTGGGTGCATGTTGGGGGGATCTTGGAGGTTTTTTTAAAGGAGAGGTTTCTGCAGGAGGGTTGCAGTTCCTTTAATGGGCAGTGAGGGCTGGGCTGCGTGCTCTTCTGGTCGTATTTGGTCTGTCTCTTCACGTCCTGTTTTGCCACTCCTGTCCATTATTGAGCTTTCGTCCCAGCCCGTGGCTCTCAAGTACATGCAAAAGACTGCACTATGCGCTTGTGTTTGTTCTTTCATGTTGACGAAGTTCACGACAGAGTGGCCGCATTGCTCATGAGGTATCATGCCTATCCTAGCCCCTGGCAAGTCTTCATGCAGGACTGAGTGCGGCGCGGGAGTCAAGATCGCTTGATCCAATCTGCCACTTTTAGTCCCGCAGGATCCAGATGGAAACTACCAGCCAATTCACGCAACTGACCTTCGCCAAGACCTCAAAGGGCATGCTGGTAAAACATCAAGGGGAGAGCGACTGTGTCTGAAAGCTGCTGGTAGCAAGTTCTTTTGCGCTCCTGTAGGTCCATCAATTACGTGCGTGAAGCCCGACTCTCAGTATGCTTCCATGCGGCCTTCTCTAGTTCTTTCCTGGCAGTCCACGGTTGTGAGTTGCGGCTGCTGGCTCGCTGCTTAATTTTCGCCTGAGGCGCAAGCTGCAGCGGGCAAATAGCCTGTGGCGTGATGTGGGGCTGCCGGAGGCAAGATTCCAAGGGCCATGTCCAAAGCAAGATGGCGTCTTCGTCTGCACGGCAGGATGAGAGCAAGGACGACGTGTACAAAGTGGTGGATCTCAAGGAACTTGCTTTGGCAACGCATAATCCCCTGCAAAGGTATCTGAGTATTGCGGCGCCGTTCAGCAACTCTCTTGGATGTTTGGCTTCCGGAAGCGTATGCCAGGCTGCCGGCACAATCCAGAAAACCGTTCTTCAGTTCATCAAGGAAGGTGCAGGTGACGCACTTTGGTGGGAGGACAGACATTCCCGCATGTGTTTCAAGGGACGCAGCTTTCCCTAATGTTCCACGCATGGCCCCTTGAGTAGTTAGGTTCTATCAGTGTTTCTTACTATCTTTCTTGCTTGATCTCTCGATCTGTGGCTGCCCAGATTGTAGTCACCGCTTGGCAGCTCATTTCCAGAGATGGCATGAGTATGCATTCACCATATTCACCTGTGTCAGCGGAAGTGTGCCGGTTGCAGGAAGCCTTCGAGGATGAAGTGAGTCGCAAGTGGCGCCTGGCCTAGCTGGCTTGGCCAAGGTCTAGTTTCAGTGTCACATTCGCCCAGCCCCGGCATATGGCGGAAGTTTGCTGCGCCGCCAAAGCTCCTTGCAATTGTTGTGTTCAGTGAACGGCAATCTCTTCCCTTAGCGTGGGCAGCGCAAACATTCAAAGAAGGGTAAGCAACACAAAGCGGGATACAGCGGGTGTTGCAAGGCCACGGCGAGAGATTCGAGATCCAAACAATTTTCAAGGCTCTAGAAGCCGCGCTCATTTCACGCTGCCCTTTGGAAGGGTCCTGCGCCTCGTAGATTTTTGGTATCATTTCTGGCCCTAGCAATGGTTTCAGCACATTTCAGCACTATTTCCAGTCCTTGGTGGTTGGAAGTTAACAGCTGTATAGATTTTTTCCTGACCTGCCTTAGCCTTTCATGTATCTTGAAAGCAGCGCTGTGCAGCTTCCAATACAAGACCGGGAAGCTGAAGGTGGGAAAAGGTGATTGCCCCTGTGCCCAGATCAAGCATTGTGCTGCAACGTGTGTCTGCCCAGGGAAGCATTTCTTCACGTGTACAACGTACGGCTCGCTTTCGTTGCCGCACCAGTTGCATAAAGAAGGAGGCTGGGCGTGGACCAAACTAGGCACAGCTCGTTTCGCAATGGCGGTGATCATGCGCTCGGTGCTTGGTTTGTTGCAGTAGAGCGGCACGGTGTTTAGTTTCGTAGACAATCCCGCACGTTTGAGCAGTTGTCCTTCCTGCAGAAGTTCCCGCGGGATGAACTGAGGACGCGTGGGCTCCTCCATAAGGGCCCCGAAGCTGGTGCCGCAGCTCAGAAATGCCTGAAAGATCCTGGAAGATCTCGTTCAAAGAGATTAAAAGCTGGGAGCACATTCCCATGCTCAGGGCTTGACGCTGCGGGCCACCAGCTTGCCCCGACATTTTTCCTCATTGCAGAGCAAGGCAGGATGCAGGATATGCAGGATATGCAGGCGACAGGTTGGTAACGATCCAAGCGCGGTCTTTCCTCTGGCAGGTGGACGATTTTTGCAAGCATGTGGAGCTTCACCTTCCAAAGGATGGAAAGAAGGCTAAGCGCTCGAAGTGTGCCCAAATGGGCCCACATGGGCCAACACGCCAAGCGCAGGTGGTCTTTGCAACCGCTTGGCTTGCTACTGACAACGTGTTCGTCGTCGGCACCTTGGAGCGTCTTTGGAAGTCTTCGGCATAGGCCGCAGGAAGCCCGCAGGGAAGCCAAACATGAAGCCAGGCTTGCATGCGCATGAGCTGTTTGGAGTGACAACCTGATGCCGACCATCATCAGCAACAGGCCAGGCAGCATCTGAGGCCCTCATGCGGAAGCACTTCCCAGAGATTTTGACTGGCAGGGTTCTCAGTTACACTGCTGTGCCACCAATGACTTGTGAAGGTGCCCACAACTTGGGGACAGGATTCTTGATCCAATAGGAGCTATGGACGGTAAACGTATCTCAGAGGACTGTCGCAGGCTGTTTGGAGGGAGCCCTTCGGGAGTCAGTGTGTCCTTACGCAATGTGGCAGACTTGGCACCATGCAATTCAGGAATGAACCTCGTTGCTATTGACACCTTGCATCTCTTCCCGACCACATTGGAGTGTGCAAAGCTCGTGGAGGTTCTGTGCGGCTTGGGTTTGCTATGGTTTGATGATAGCAACATCCGGACATTTGCCCAGCGGTGCTAAGATGCAGATAGGATGCACACAAACTGAGTGCGACACTTGGGTCATCTGCTTCACACGCTGTGCGTGCTGCTTAACGTGGGACACCGCAAGCTGTCTGCGCTTATCTGGATCCTCCATGCCAGGAAAAGTATGCAAAGAAGGCGCGCCGTGGAGCTCTTGCGTGCTGTACGAATCGGATTTTCAGACTGGTTTGATGATTTGTTCAGCCGCTCATGCTAGCATCTTGGGGCTGAGTGAGGGCTGCTGCCCAGCGCTTTGGTGGTAGATGTCGGCAGCGTTCGCATGGTTGCTTTTTTAACTTCCATTTGCTACAGTCTGCTACAGCACAGCCCACAAACATGCATGTCCGGAGGTCACTTACTTCGTCACGTGACATGACTAGCTTGCCTCGCGCAGCTTTCAGAGGCTATGTGGAAGATGCCCAAAGGGATCACGACGCATCTGGGACCATGACAGCCGAAGAGCTTCCTTCTTGCGTTTTAACGCAGATTAGCCTAGGCTTAGCAGATCTTAGCATTAGAAAGTTGTTGCAGGGGTGCCCCTCAAAAGGCATGCCGAGCTTCAAGAACTCCCCTTAGGATGAAATAACAGAAATCTTGGGTTTGTTGCCCGGTTGTCTTTTCGCTTCCAGGTCTTTGTTTAATGCTTGCGAGGTGTCGCCTACTGATGCAGATGTCCTTGTGTCGGCTGGTTTCATGTCATCCCCCAAGGAAGGATGAGTTCATCGCAAAGTATGGCGACTGCGAGGCGTCGCCGCGTGTCTGTTGCGACCTGATGGAGCCAATGTCAGACATCATGGAAACGACCTTTGAGGAGCTGGACTCCGCAGATTTCGACTTTGTCAGCAAGGCCAGAGGCAAGTGGTGGGTCAGGGCTAGTCAACGCCGAGTGCACGTCTTAGGTGGAGCCCTTCCAGCGCGCTCTGGAGGAATGCGAGAAGGAGACTGCTCTTCGACATGTCATTGTCTGATGTTGCTATGGTCTCTAGCGAACCCTACATGCTTCAGAGAAGCTTTGAAGATCTATGAAGCTTTGACAGTGTGGCCGGCATTTACGGGCTCCTCCCATTTGATTGAGGACATCCTGATCACCGGCCGCCGGATGGATCAGGCTGCACAGCGCATCAAGCTGGATGCGCGGGTCCCAGATCGTTGGCCATGTCCACCTGCTAAGACTGCTTGTCCTGTGAGAGGTGTGGGAGGACCAGAAGCGAACGCTGAACCCCATGGCAAACTTCAGCTGGCAGGAGACATGACATGACTTGTACGCGTCTGTGCACTGTACGGATCATGTCGGAACTGCCTGAGAAAAAGCTCGGACTGACTCTGCCAGGACATCATCGATTATGTAGACAAGGAAGGTGTGCCAGTGAATGGCCCCTGCCTCTGCCTAACTTTCTGTCTTCGTAACTGTAGACAGCAAGCTCCAGCACTTGTAGGGGTGCTTCAACACATCTCGTCTGCGAACTCCCGTCGTACGTGTACGTAAGTTCAAAAGATGCCAGCAGCCGCGTGCCAGAGCGGTTTGCGATCAGCGTGCTGTGACACAGGTATTTGTTAGTCCGGCTTTTGCCAAGCTCCGCTTTCTTGCGGACATCGCGTAAGGGGCGTGCTACCAAGACAAAGTATAGAATGCATAATTGTGACTTGTCAGCATTAATTGTAGAGACGGTCTTGCGTGACAAGCTCGGAGACTAAACGTGCCACTGACTCGTTAATCCCTGTCCCAGCTGGCCACAACTGGGCCTTCCGCTGCGATGCGCCGATCGAGGCGGGACAGTCTGCTAACTTGAACCTGTGAAGGTTGGCATTTGGAATCTCCAACTTTCAGGCCACCAGCCGCCATTTGCCGGACCTTCCTTGGACCAAGGCTGCATTTTCAGGGCATGCATTTTCTGTGCAAGCAGCGTCCACTCAGTTCCTACCGTTGAGCAACTGCCAAAACTGACAAGGATGTGTTAGATGTGAGAGTTCGACACAACTTCAGCTGGCTGGCGGCAGCATCTGCCAACTTTAAGGGAGAAGCAAAACTTATATCGAGCTCTAGCGGTGTCAGGGATTCCTACATCTGACCCAGAAACAAAAGAAGATACTGCGCGATCATGAAACATTGCCAAAGAGGGCAAGGCAGAATCGGATTTGAGCAAACATGCTGCTAATCCCCCCCACGTCCCATGCAAAAGCAAAAGTTAGTATTCACTTAATGCCTCTGGGGTTGGAATGGTTGGTCTTCGAGAAGAGGCTCCAATTCTACGTTGCTAAGAACCCCTGACCTTCCTAATCTCCCTAGACCCCTAAGCTCCTAAACCCTCTCGGAACTGCCGCCCTCAGATTCGACAAAGTGGTGCTTCGCAGGTTGACTTGGGCAAACCATTCTGGCGCTGCTCGGAGGCAAGGTGCGATTTAAACATGCAGGTCGAGGGTTCTCTCAAAAGCAAGATGTAAAAGAATGACTCCCACTCGCTTTGAAGCCTGAGATTATTATTTTGTTCCGTTGATTCACGGCTGCTTCGTGATTGATCTGCGGAGCAGCTCTTGCGTTTTGACTGGAAGGTGCTTGGTCAAGCTCAAAACTCAAAACGCAACAAAATCCTTTGTTGAAGGCTATCTAATCTCTTGATTCAAATAGCCATTAGCTGCTAAATTACTAGCAGCACCACCCTTGAGGAGAAAATATTCTGCTGCTCCACATTTTCAGGCACATTTTCGGAGACGATGCTTTTACTGCGAAAGGCGACTTCTGACTTTTTATTGTAAAGAATTATGGGGTCTGCGCCTGAGTTGTTCCTAATAGCAGAGCATCCCACAGGCACTTGTCTTGCCGATTCACTCATTTGAAACATTTTTTGTGCAAGAAGGGGCTGTTGAGGTCCAAGACTTTTCCAGATCCAGTGGTAGCCTTTTCCCGCATGCATACGGAAACTTTTGTTTTGTGTCGTGAGTTGTTCCATATCCATAGCTCTAACTGTGCAAGCTGCAGCGTCAGCGTCTTGAGGGTTGAGTTTGTTAGGCATAGTATACTTCCTGATGTGGCACGGTGATGGAAAGAGTTGTGTGCTGCTGGTTCTGGATTTTGAGTGGCATTGACTAACAGATCTTTCTTCGTTTGAAGGCCGAGATCAAGGGAAGCCCGCCAGCGGCCAGGATCCAAGACAGGATTCGCAACTCTCAAGATTGCAGGAATGCTCGTGGTGGCGAAGCCAAAATCTTGAACTTTGAAGGAATGACATTTGGAACAGCTCTTTGGCCCAAAGGTGCTTAAGTTTGAGCTGCGCTAAGGCCATCACCTATGTCTTCAAGTCTTTCGGTGCCTTGGCTGCATAAGGCATGGCAGCGGACTGCAGCTGCCACTCACTTGACACTACAAAAGATGCTTTGCCTCAATGTTTACTATCGATGCACAGGCCCCAAGCCCCAAGCATTGAGAAACAATGCTATCAAAGCCTTCGTACGAAGCTCTCGAGCATGCATGGACGTGATGCAAACCAGGCGACATGCACACCACGGTGCCGGTATGCGGGGCATGTTTGCGGAGTTGAGCTGTGATGTTGTCTCAAGGTCACGAGGTGCCGGATACTCCCCAGCAACTCTCTGACTCCCCAGCAGATCTATGGCAGGGGTTTGGCATTCCTCAACTTCTCTGCCAGGGCACCGCCAAGCTTCTTACATGGCAGCATTGCAAGCATCTTTGGATCTCTGAAAGATCCCGGTGCCTCTCAGAACTTTCGATGTTTGAGAGACTGAATAAGATTGACTCCACCGAAGAGCATTCATGAATCCCCCAAATCCCCTAAGAAAGGGTAAGGAAAACAAAAAAAAGGATCCTCGCTAAAGCCCCCCCAGAAGAAGATGGTCTGCATATGTCTGCTTTTTGCCAGGGCCCAAAATTAAGGACAGAGTATAGGGAGCCTTCCATCACTGGGCCCGATCCTCTTGCAGGGGGCCTCTTCAGGAGGTGCGCCACTATCCAAGTTGAATCCACGGCAAACATGGCCAGCCCCACTGGTGTCAGGGAAACAATACATGCACGGGAGGATAAACGAACAGGAGATGTAGACCGTAGATGACTTGGCCAGTCTCTGTTAGTGCTAGAAAGTATTGAAGGCTAGGGCAAAGACAGTGTAATGCCAGGCGTGGCAGACAACATGATTTGGCTTTGCCGAGTGCTTCACCTTCGTCTGCACTTTCCGGATGGCAGCATTCATCTAACAAGCTGTTTTTGCCAGGTGGAGCCCCACGAGTCCGAGCGCTCCGGCCGCTTCGTGCGTCAGGCGAAGACCGAGTGCGGCACCGGCCCTGGTGAGAAGATGCGGGTGAGCGGAAAAGTGAGCTTTTGTGTCATTCTGCACATTTTGGCACGTTCCCACATGCCTAGGCATTCACACACGCACAACCTTCGCTGGCGCGCCACATGGTGGATCCCTGGTTGATCTGATGGTCAAGGCTAGCTGGTTGATGTCTGAAGCTTTGTAGAGCCTCAGCGCTTGTTCGGAGGACCCCGCCGACATCAAGCGACTCACTGACAGCGCAGTAAAATCGATCGAGCTCAACGAGCGTCAGGCAAGGTCAGCTTCGCTCTTCCAGCTTCACAGCTGAATGCCTGGGCGTGTGAGATCTCCTTGACCTCAAGGCCTGCGATGTCTTCTGCCTCCTCAGCGGCGCCTTCAGTCCCCTCACGGGCTTCATGGTGCGCGGCTTGCATGGGGTTTTGGCATGAGCCGGGAGCCTTCAGAGCCTATCACGTTCACAATGCGGATGCTTGGTCTCAGGAGGAGGGTGCTTACAATTCCGTGGTGAAGGCCAAGAATACCCGCACTCAAGTGCGTTCGCGAAGTCGAGGGCTCTTGCGCTGGGAGTCTTCGAGGACATGCGCCTCCCCGAGAAGCAGCTCTTCGGTCTGCCCGTGACTTTCGACTTGCCGGAGGTGGCGGTGTGAGTCGCTCCTGAGGCATGCTGATAGCCGTCGCGTTCAACCTCAGGTTGATGGCATTAACAAGGGTGACAAGCTGCCCGGGACTCTAAGCAGTACACACGAGGCCCAACTTTTCTTGCTCAATGCTGCCTTCCGGGAGGTTGCTCAAGTGGAAGGGAGAGAACGTTGCTGTAATGGAGGTGCGGGCTCAGCGAGTCTTGTCAAGGGCCCATCTTCTTGTACCCGGTGCATCCGCAGGCATCCTCCATCTGGAAGCCCAACAAGGCTGCTTTGCATGCTGCAGCAATTGGTCAGATTCAGCAGCTCCGCATGGCTCCGCAGTTTTCAAGTCGAAACACTGTGTACAGGTGGTTGAAGCCAAGGAGTGCTACGGCACGAGCAGTGGCGGGGCCCAGTCGTGAGGTATATTTCCGGCCCACAGCCCGCTGAAAACGTTTTCAAGAAGTCTTCAGTGCGAAGCACAGCAATGCGAAGCAGTGCGAATGCGATCGAGGCTTGGAGCATCCAACCGTGGCTTCCCTGGTGCAGGAGATTGGCCAGACCCTGAGCAAAAGCAAAATCCGTGCGCCTTGACTCCTCGACCGTTTCAGATGGCCAAACCTTTTTGCCTATTCCACATCGGTTGTGAGATGCAGCGAAAGACCTCTACGGTCTGTCCGAGCTTTCAGTCAATGCTAGCAGATCAGTGAGGGATTGCCCACGTGCTGGCATCATAGATTCCATCTCCTAGACTGCAAACTGATTGAACGTTTCCCCCAGCGATCGCGAAGCCAACTCTGCGCATTTTTCACCTCGCATTTCTTACACTTCCGTGCATGAAGACCTGAGCAATCTTCAAGACTCGTGTACCCCACTGGCATAGAACTGTGAATACGAGCAGTCTCAAAACGCAGCTTGCATTGCATGGTTCAGCATCCTGGGGGTCAACCATCGGCATTCCACCATACTCAAAATGTTCAAGACTTCCTTCAGTGCTGATGACTCCACAGCCTGAGGCAAGTACTATGTTGGCGGCAGGACGTGGTCTCTAACCAGGGCTTCTGCACATGCAGCTGTCAGACGTGACAAGAGCCGATCACCATAAGTCTTTAGCATGCTCATCACAGTAAGTCTTTGGGGGGCCCGTGTCTTGCCGGGAATGTAGCCTCGACTTGTTCTTCGTGTTGTTGTGTCAGAAGCACAGACATGTGCTTGGCCACATCAAGCTCCAACTATCTGATCTTTCAAAGGATTCACGGATTCGAGCTGCCGAAGTTTGGCTACACGACGCAAACTCCTGCTGAGGCCTTGTGAACCGACGGTTGTGAAGGAACCCCTGCCCCTCTGGCCTGAAACACTGGCTTGGTCACAAGCTTGTCTCAGTCTCCATACCAGCATGACCCAGCCATCTGCCGCCAGACATGCAGGTGCGAGCCACGCTGCCGGAGAACAAGCAGGTCGTGCCCAGCCAAGATGGCATTTCATAAGCATGGCATAAGCACATCATAAGCATGTCAGTAAAACCAATGCTTGTGAAGCCTGCGAGACAGATAGCTCTTTTCTCAAGCAGAGGTTGCATTCCAGAACCGCAACCCGATCCATCGTGCCCATTTTGAGCTCTTGATTTGCGCTGGGCCCCTAAATTGTCTTTACTTGCGCATGCGGCTGGACTTTGCCAGCTTGCAGGTTCCCTGGCTTTTAAGCAAGCATCAAGACAGCAAAGAAAACTCTGTTTGAGGCCCAGAAGGACGTGAAGGACTCCATCCTGCCGAGACCCTGGCCAGAGAAGCCAAACACTTTGCTCTGTGGTCAGCGTCCGCTTTGCAGATGACATGCATCCTGCAAGATGTGAGCCTTCTGAGCAGACAAGGCTTGTGCACCCTACGTGCGGCCCAACCCAGCCGGGTGACATTGACGGCTTGGTGCGCATCCAGACCTACGAGGCCAAGAGATGCCAAGAGCAAATTTTTTTCACCACAGTGAGCTCATAGCTTGCGCCCTTATGTATTGACGTTGGTTAGAGTATGAGCAATCCCCAGTACTCGCATGTCAGGGATTGAGAGAAGAAATTCCATGAGGTGTAGGAATCACGAAAAAACAGCTGAAGCGATATCCTCATCCCTCCAAGAAGCGATGCCTTTCCATTATCCTGCGCCGAAGCCCTCCAAAAGCGACGGTCCCGCAAGTTGCCCTTGCATGGAACGGCTTACGCGTTGTTTTTTTGCCGCTAGCCATGGACACTGAGGTGCCTCTGAGGCGTGCTTTGGATAAACTACGAAAGCTTCCTCTGAAGCTTGGTCACATTTGGCTGCGTTTGCGGGCCAGGCCCCACCAAGCGAGGTTTTGGGAATCTGGGGTTGTTTCGGGCGGGAGAAATGGACACCTTCTGATGCTGCTGATGCCGGCCCGGTGTGTTTGCTGAGCTACTCTGGCGTATTCTAAAAGAGTCCTGCAGCGGGTTGCGCACTCAGTTTCATGCTTGCGGGGCTTTCCACCCTGCTGCCCAACTCCAACAATCATCGCTAGGGCAGACTTGCGGCAGAGCGATTAGGCGCCGTACCGCCGCAGGGAATCAGCGGGTGCCCAAAGATGTGGGGGTTAGCATTTTCTTTTTGTTGGTAACAGCTCAGAAGCTAATTGCTTCTCAAGAAAATATGCTACGGGTGACTCTATCAGAGACCCCTAAGGCATTACAGGCCTCAGAGTGCAGTGAAC